ATTTTGTAACATAGCTCACTCAAAAGTACTATGTAAATTTGCAGCGAATTCCGATCGTTTTTTGGTGGTTTTAGAGCCAGATATATCAAAAGCAAGAATTTCGAGATTTGGTTTTAGAAATTCATGGGCTCAGAACTTCTAAACAAATTCACTTCCACTGAAACGAAAGAATGCATAAGAAATTAGAAGAAAAGAGCTTTCAAATAATATGCAAAACTCTCTGAGAAAACACTTTCCCGTTCTAGACCAGCATTTTGAAAAAGGTGCACGATAAACCTGCATTAATTCTGTTACAACCTAATATTATGAGAATATCAACATGTATTGTTGCCCTATGAACAAATTCAAAAGTAACAAAGTAGTATCCTATGTCTACAGTATCACCATGGACTATGGGCATAATGTGTGCTAAAAGATTCGTTTTATCAAGGTGAAGCCAAATCTTCTTGCAAATTCCAAATAAAATTGTTTTAGAAGAAGTTACAACTAAACTCGCAAATCCTGCATTTTTGCCAGATTCCACCACTACAACTGCATAAGCTTTTGGTATGAATTTCACATCAAGCAGTCACTGATTATAGGAAGTATCGTAGTATAATGGTATTTTCAACTCTGCGTTCAATCATGAGAAAAATAGGATCGCAGATCTAACATCACTGTCACATTACTGCTGCCCATCCATTCGTAGAAACTGACTCACACCTGTCCCCATATACTAGAATGGATAACATAGCCGCATAGTTATGGGGTCTGGCTCATACCACTATGCAGTGAGGAGGTAGTTTGAATATAAAGTTTTAGTCAAAATCGATTTCATCCTTTATATCCTTGTTCATATGGGATTGCTCAAAAAAGGCGAAGTTGAAGTTGGTTTGGTATTATAAAGGTTGGAAACCTCTGTTATGTCTTTTCCTTTTCAATTTTAATTCTCAAAGCTCACTTTTTGCATCACTGATATACAAGATCATTTTATAAGCTCGCATTTTTTTCTGAGGAGGGGTTGACTTGCGCAAAATGCGAATGTTTTCAAGAAAAGCTGTGCATTTTTTCCAAGTAACTTATTTCATTCGATAAAAAGCTGATCTATTTCAACACTTCAAGGCACCTTCAAGGCACTCCACCTAGATTCTCGACTTCCATGTTTTGGTCGTTCAGGGGTCTTCTCATGTCCCTGATTCCGAATATCAAGTCAGTAATCCGCGAAGACCTCAACAATCCCCTTTACGGAGCACCCGAAAACCGATTCTCCGCAACGGTTATTAGATGGGCGCGCACGGATGGGCGGGGAGTACTGGAGGGGCGGTGCCGACTTAGGGTCCTCAAACCTCTTCGCTATTCCGAAGCGATTTTTTCGCTACCTGAGCGACATTTTTCGCTGCGACTTGAGCATTGGCCCTATAGGGGGCTTTACTATGATAAGCTGCTAAAAGCTTAAGACCCCTAGCTTAGTAGCAGACCGTGCCTTCAAAGGCAGTGTCCAGGCAAAAAAGTCAGTTTTGAGATTTTGTACCTACCTGGGCCTATTCGCCATGCTAAATTTGAAAATCGACATTGAAGAGCGCGAAAACGGCGAGAAAAGACTCTGAGGCAGGAGGGGAATCGCATCGCAGGTGGGTGGGGTTATCACATTGTGACGTCAATCTCCCAGCTTCAAGAACGATCTTTTCGCTTCCGCTAGTCGCCCTAACATCATTATCAGCCAACTGCAAACGCGTGACATAAAATCGAAACAGACAAGATTGCTACTAGAGCCTGGAAGAGCGACGTCACAATGTAACGCCCCGCTACTGCAATTTCCCTTCTGCGCTAGGGCCCTTTTTCGCCGTTTTCGCGCTCTCCAGTGTGGATTTTTGGATTCAGCATAGCTAATAGGCCCAGGTAAGCTCTTCAAAGCATGAATAACCCTGCTGCACAAAAGTTCCCTAGACAGGTCCAGCGGTTTTTCTGCGCGACAAAATATGGCTCCATAAGGAACGTTGTCATATCGTCTTGCAAGATTTGATCGGAAGGTACATTAACATCCAATGTCCTGATAAGCTTTCGCTTTGGAAAATTATCGTCTGCTCTAAACTACTGCAAATCACATGAATGCGTTTGCTTCGATTCAGAAGGGGAGTTCAAGAGTGACGATTTAAGAACCAGACTCTTTAAGTTTCTGCATGACTTGACGGAGTCTATGATGGCAAAATGGCGAAATTTGTGTGCAATAACAATGCATACATTATTGACTGCATTTTTATAAATACTGTCATTTTATTAGCTTACGAAAACTCCACGATTTTATAAAACGACCCTACAAATCAATAGCGTGTCGCACGGGCTCATATTCAAACGCTGAAAATTTATTGTGAGATTGACGTAGCAGTAGACAATAACAATATTTTGGGCCGTTCTGATAGATCTGCTGTTTCATTTTTGAAAATTCATAAGTTTTCGCAAGACCCCTATTGGTTTTTTTGTGATGTTAATAAAAAAGGAGGGTTTTCTCTTTGCAAATACAGGGTGTCCCAAAAGTAAGTACACACTTTTCAATCGTCAATAACTCTCTTCAAAATGGGTATTTTTTGGCCAGACAAGTACCATTTTGTAGTGAAGGCTTCAGCTTAGATTCATAGTATCGACCGAATCACCAATCTTTCTTCGTTATAGGATTACGGTAAAAACTTCCAGCATGAGAAATCATTGTGAAATATGCCATCTGCCAAAATTCTTTTAAAAAAATCTGAAAAATCTTGTACTAAGGTTTTTGCTCATGCTGATTTCACCTAACAACGTTTTACGAGTGTTTTTAGCTTTTTCGATGGTGTAACTACATTTCTGACAATTGCTGGAAATTGAGTTATTACGGTTTACCTGGGAAAACTTTGGAAAGAGCATCACAGTAAAGTGGAAATCTTATATTCGAAATCAGCGGCTTCCATTACCATAGTATAAGAGTTTTGGGCTTTTCTGGTTTTGTTCCGAGGCAGAATATGGCTTCCAATGGCCTAAAATCCTTGTCGAAGCTCCTAGAGCAATCCTACAGTAAAGAAGAGAGATCGGTAATTTATCCGATACTGCAAATCTAAGTTGAAACCTCCTCTAAAGAATGATACTTGTTTGACGGAAAAAGACACAATGGGAAGAGAGATATTAACGATTGAAAAGTGTGTACTTACTTTTGGGACACCCTGTATGTCGTGATAAGCTTCTATCATGCATTAATTGCAGAGATCAAAGTAGGAAAAAAACATTTAGGCTGTAATCAAACAAAGAAATTTAAACGGACTGCTTTCACGGAAAATCTGAAACCGTCAGCTCTTTTAATATACTCGGACTGCGAGAAAATTTTGTGCAGTTCAAAAAAAGGTTCCCGTAAAAAGTTACAATCTCCGAAAAATTTTCAATCAATTGTGACGTTTTCTATTGCAAATTTAGAACATAACTTCTTGCAGAAACGTTCAAACAGCACAAACTTTTGTTTGGTTGCAAAGAGTACGTCATTAATCCTACATACTGACAAGTTCGGACTTTCTGCAGCGTTCCATATTCTTGGCAGCCTAGCTCAATATGATCAAGATCTGAACTCAAATTGTCTTCTTTCTCCATATTTACCATTGCAATGAGTGCAAAGTGAAAGCTTATCAAGATAAATACAAAGAGGAAGACTCCCCTATTCAAAAAACCACAAAGGAACAAATATGCTAAGATAGCCCAAAGTTTATGAAAATACAGATTTTTCAGGACAACCTATGATTGATTTTGAATTTTTTTTAACATTTGCATAAAAAAAGTGGGTACGCATTCGATGAGATATCTAGAGTTTCTTTGAGTAAAAGCCGTAAACGGTGGTTTTGCATTTATAAGGTTGGAATGAAGTCAGTGCATGTTTTTTACGCCTTTTTTAAAGCGCTGCTTTGGATTATTACATGATTTGTTGTGGAATTCTTGCAATCATTTGAAAAATCCCTTCTTGTGCATTCCGTTTCTATTGAGGTGGCTCATTTTAGCACTTCGTAAGCCTAAAAAGAAACAAAGCAAAAAAAAATTTTTTCCTTTGCTTTAAATCAGCCTAGGAAAGAGCAGAAATTCTTAGCAAACCTGCATGGTTTGTGCGAGAGAGTTGTGTTACGAAAAAACATGGAAGTCTTTAAATAATTTCCGAGCTGAAATTTCTTAAAGCAATCTTGAACTGTGACCTTCATGTGTCGTACAATGACAATAAGCGATTGTAGAACTCTCGCTGTGCGCAGAAAAAGAGGAGTGTGGGACACTACTTAGTAGAAGTCTTACTTTCCATTTCCACTTTCAGAAAAAACGAAAGGCACCTTCGAAATTTATTTTAAGAAGTTTTTTTTCAATATTCAAGCTTGGCGATGCGACACTAGCGACTATCTATTGAATACTTAATAAAGTCCAAGCTATCCTACTTTGTTTCAAAATAAGATTTTCTCTCAATCCAAACGTTTGAAAATTTTTTGGTCATTTTAAAGCTTGAAATCTTTGTCTTGACGCTACGGCAACGGAATGTTACTACTTGGTCACCAATTTGTTGGCTGTAAACAGTTTTACCGCACCTAAAAAAATTAGTTTTACAAGGAGTTACAGCGACAAAATTTGAAAGCGAAAAAATTGCATATTTATTATTTACATTCCAATAAGTCGTTTTTTCTTTAGACAAAGACCAACATGGTTACAGTAGTTTTCGTAAAATGGGATTTTGTTTACCAAAAAATGGCACAGAAAAAGTTGACACATGTGTTAAATTATTCCTAGCAATTCTAGTTTAGCTGTTCATTTGAAATCTGAGTTCTAAAATATTTCTTAACCAGATTTTCCTCCAGCAACTTCAACTGATATGTTCTCTGCTAATTTTCCGCGTGGTATAAGAAACCGCTCAGAACACTTCTAAGCTGCTCAAAACAGGCTGATTCTCTTTCTCTGTCACTCATGCGGCACTCAAGCAAAAAGTTATACCATCTGTACGGTGTAAGCAATATACATGGTTAATTTTTACATTATAGTTCTGATCAGGGAACCAGCAACAAGATGTTGAAACTATTAACGCTCTTTGCTCTTGCCATAGGAATCACAGCAAGGCGTAAGATTTTTTTTTGACGGATGGTATTCACGAATATATTTATAAATGTTTAGCAGGCGAGATGAGAGACATACCTGGAGTAAGCGCGGCCAATATGGAAAGACTGCGTCAAATGATGAACGTATAGTAGACGTCATCCGTCTAGTCACCTCGGTGTCGTGTGTGCTATTGCACACAATTTTGAAATCCCGGATGAGGTGCGAGGTTCGCGCCATGCCGTACTTGCACCAAGTGCGCATACGGCTGAAATTCGACGCCAAACTGTCCGATTTTCTTATTTTGATGTTTTTCTTTCGTTTTAAGCACTTTTTCTGCACGCATGGTCTCGTTCTCAATGATTTGCTACCTTTATACTCGTGCATTGCCGTTTTAGATAGGATATCCTGAGATTTATCACTTCTGCTTCCAGGCAAGGAAGGCGCGTGGGCAATCTTGCAGGATTGTAAAGTAAGTGTGTTTTTCGGTGTAGTCGTATGTAGAAAGAATAGAGTATCTCGTAGACAATACGAGTTTCAACTTCCTCCTCACTGAAATCGTCTTGTACCGAGTTCCTCTTGGAAAGCTTCTTACAAGTCTATAGTGGGATTGCTTCAAACAAAAACTCGTACTTCTCAAGAGACACTCTACTCTTTCTACATCCGACAATATTGAAGAAAGCACACTTACCTTGAAATCCTGCAGGATTGCCCATTTGCCGCTCTCACCTGGAATCAAAAGTGAAAAATTTTGAAATTTGCGATCTAAAACGGCAACGCACGGTATAAAGATAACAAATCATCAAAAACCAGATGTGCGCGGAGCCAAAAACAAAAAAAAAGCACCGGAATAAGAAAAACCGGCAAAATTTGGCGTCGAATTTTAGCCGTACGCGTACTTGGTGCAAGTACGGCACGGCGCGAACCCCGCACCTCATCCGGAATTTCAAAATTGTGTGCAATAGCACACACGGCACCGAGGTGACTAGACGGATGACGTCTACTATATGTATTTTTATTTCCGCGTAAAATTGACCCTTAAAAAAGCTTTCTCTTTTTTTAAAAGCGAGTGGGTTAGCCACTAGCAACCACCGATACAGATTGATATGAAACATGGTGGTTTTTTACCGCAATTTGCTTTTCCTATTCCTTTTGTATATAAGCAATGATTCAAAGAAATATTTTACCGTTCTAGCCTCGCCCGAATGGGCGCGAAGAGTTCAAACAGAGAATGCAAGAGTGGGAAAACAGCTTACCAGCAGCTGAAAGGGTTCGTAAGAAAATCCTTGCTTGCCTTTTTCCAAAAAATTTTCCTTTCAGACAGCAGTGCAAACTCACAGAAAACAGATGCATGAAAGACGTAATGCTGATAAGTTCATTAACAGCGTTAGATCTATTTAGGTTGTCCCAAAAGTAAACTTCATTTTCAAATAAATTGAGCTGTTCTTGTTTTTTTAACAGACTTAAGGTACCATTTGTTAGAGCGGAGCAAGCTCTAAAGAAGAGCACCAAAAATCCACCTAAGTCGTAATCCAGATAAAATTTGGGGCCAAAAATCAAGATTTTTCAGCTACTCTAAAAATCGGATCTCCTTCCAGAGAATTCCTACGGATTTCCAAGTTGGTCTTTATATAGTAGACATATAGTAGTACCCAAAAATGTATTTGGCGGATTTTTTTTCGGGACTCAAGATTGAGAAAGAAAGATGGTCCGAAAATGCCAAAATGCCGCTTTTTTGGGTTTTTTGTGTAAAACTTGGTATTTCTAGGATATATAAGAGCACATACAGGGGTAAGTTTTTGAAATTATACTTAGTAAGGCTTGTAGTATACAATGACATATGTGGGAGGGGCTGGGGGCGGAGCTTGCCATTTTTGGACAATTTCTATTTCTTGCTTTCTATGCTTGAAAAAACTTGGTAAAGGCATATTTGAGTAGTACTATGTGCCTACTGTATAATGATCAAGTTGAGGGTCTGTAGGAATCTTTATCGCAAAAATCCAATTTATAGGTCACAAAATTTTTTCCGATTTCGGCTTCAGACTTTCCACCGAATGCGGCTTAGGTAAATCCTGGTAAGCATTTTCTAGAGCTTGATCTGCTCTATCGAATGATACCCTAAGTTTACTGAAAAAACGAAAACAGCTTGAAAATTATTTAAAAAAGGAGTTTACTTTTGGGACAACTTAATATATATATCTACTCCATCCTAACTTCGAGCGTCGGCTCTTGTTTGCTCAAAAAAGCGAGCAGAATAGCATACACTCTCTGCTGGTGGTATACTAGACTAGAAAGTATACCAAACTGCACTGGCAAGTCGGTTAGAGGTGCATATTATTAAAAGCGCCTCCAAACGCTTATTTCAAACCTGCTTTCCTTACCTGCGGAAACTGAAGAATAAGCTGTGCGTATTTATCGTAAACTCATTAATTTACAGTTGATGTAGGTAGATCAAAAGTCAGCGCAAGCGGATCAAGACGATCTGCGTATAATGGGTACAACGAGAAGCTCTTAACACAACTTTCTTCCAAAAAATAGTTCGGCAGATGAAAAAATATAAAAAGCAAATCTGGAATCATCCTTTCTCTTTCCAATTTGCCATATGCGCAGCAGCCCGCATGCGTCAACTTTTTCTTAAGGAATGATAACCACGAACGGACGATCGAGCAGTATGATTGGGCTAAAACTCCCAAAAACCCACATTTAACAAGAAAATCCGCGATCTTAATTTGTTATGACAATTGCGTTAGTCTGTATCAAGACCGCTAGCTGCATCGAAGACGCAGGGACTTCCTAAAAAAACAAGAAAAAGGTTTTCGAAAAAATTTGGGAAGGAGAAAGGATGCGAAAAGTAGGGCTTCTAAGCATAACACGGCATAGAAAAGCTTTCATTCTTGAACCTTGCTTCCATTTGAATGCTTTTTTTTAGGCAATAGGAATCCAGTTGTAACAATGAGACGAAAACGAGCAAAATCCTCAGTGAAAACAACTAAAAGTATTGAAAGGCTACTTGAGGCTACACTACCATGCCTAAAAATGGGGAATCATGCTAGGAAAATAAACTGTGAATTCCTAAAAATTTTAAGAATTCTTGTTTACTGAACGAATTCAACTGCATAGAACAAATCTTGAGCTGTAGCTTAACGGATTTCTTTCAGAATTCCTTCAAAGAGGCATCCCAGGTGTGAGTGATTCCAGTATAGATAGGCTACGTCAGATGATGTATGTGAGTTTTTTTTTTCAAATTGGAGATTACTCTATAAACGCAATGTGTTTGTAAAAGTCAACTTTAAAATTTCAGCCTCTACCGGAAGGAAGAGAAGCGTTTCAGCAGAAGATGGACGAATGGATAAATAGTCTGCCACCAGCGGATTAGGTATGTACCAGCTCAACAAACTTTCTGGATCGTCGATTTTAGACGATGCTTAGCTTATAAAAGTAAAAAATTTAGGCAGCAGCAGAAGCGCATAGGGAACAGATGCGTCAAAGACATAGAGGTCCTCCACCTCCTCCTCCTCTCTAAAATCCATATCCGGGCAGAGGATCAGGTGCTTGTGATAAAGCATTTCTGCACTTGTCGCATTATTGCTTATGAGATAAAAATGAAACTATTTTTGTGTCACACATCAAAAAAGACTTGATTGAGATTTGTTTCCCATCTACATCTTTTTTACGAAATAACATATAACACACACCAAGATTTCCCTAATGACGAATCCACATTGTGCCCTAGTGCTTGCTTATGCGTGCGGATCGGTACTCCAGAAACGGCTTTGACAACAACATAAAAAATTCTTACAAAATATTTGAAACACAAAATAGAGTGAGTGTAGAGTGTGACTTGCGCAGTCAAGTGCATATAGCTCAGACAACTGACCGGAACTTTCGCAGAACGTCTAGAAAAAGTTCCGCCAATCTCCGGAAGTTCACAAAATGTGCTGCGGAAGTTCCGGAGAATGCGAACCACAACAGCACAGGAGAACACCTAAGCGAGATTTGACCTTACTCTATTGACTGCAAGGCTCACCTACTACCCTCTGCGCTATGGATGACATGTTCGATAATGTGCTCTAGTTGTTAGCGGGGTAACATCGTACGAGACAACACATCAAAAACCTGCGGAAGTACTGGCATGGCAAAGCGCTGAAACCGCTGACATTTTTTGGAAGTTCCGCAGCGCTTTGCAAAAAAGACCTGCAGAATTCCCATTTTTAAACGATTCCACTCTTGCAATAGAAATAAAATCCTGCGAAACCGCAGTTTTGCTTATCCTGCAGAAGTTCCGGTGGATCATCTGAAAGGTGCACAAAAAATGGCGAATTCGCTGTATTGCTTTGTTTCATTTGAGAGGAATCTTTGTTATGGTTATTGGCCTTTAACGACAATTGCCACCCTTTGAAAAACTGTATAAAAACGTGAAGTTTGCTGTTACTGAAACATCAGGAATACCCTGAGCAAAGTACAGCAGTGACATTGTGTAATACGGCGCGTATGTTTTAGCGCTGGTAAAAATGATGATGTGATCTTGAGTAGAATTTGAAGAAATGAATGAGACAAAATAACGCAGAAGACCAAACGTGTATTCACCCAATAAGTACACAAAATATTCTAAGCGGTCAATGTGTCCAATATGATTTTCAAGCAAACCGGTTCATAGGTATTGGGTCAAACATTTTCATACAAATGATTGATTTGGAAGTGAAAATACATAGCGCTTACTTTCTCACTCACTTATGAAACAGGCAAATAGGCGGGTGAAATTGCTGTGAAGATTATTTTTCAATTGTTAATCACGTCACAAAGAGAAGAAATTGCGACTTTTAAGACGTAACACGAAGATCAGATAGAATGCAGTAAAAGTATAAGTAGATGTTGGTAGCTTACCCATTTTTTTTCAGGAGATGGGGTGGAGAAGCGCGACTAAAATTTTTTTCTAGTGAAGGTACGTGGTGTCAACCACGCACTCCGAAAATTTTCTTGGTATGTTTTCTTACAAGAAGAAGGTACTTGGTGACCCGTTATGAACTTTTTTCGTAGAAAATTTTCGTACTTTTGGTAGTTAAAATCACCCACTTTTATCTATTTCACCGCTTGAAACTATTGAGGAGAATCTTGAAAGGTGCAACGTTGTAGTTATATCTGTCTAATCACATTTGGCATTTAAAGAGGAAAGCAAAGATTTTTATTAATGATTTTTACCCTTCGCAGTAGCCCCATTCCTTTTTTGAAAAAATAAATATAACTCCATCCAGGTTCTTGTTTCGCACATTTGAAAAACAGTATTCGAACCATCATCAAAATGCGCATTTTTTGATATAGAAACCATTATGAATGGCCGAGGTCACCAAGTATCGTTCCCTGTTTAGATTTTTGCGGACCCATAGACCCGAATTTTCGGAAAAGGGGCGTAGTGTCAGCCATGCTTCCTTTCGTATATTCTTTTTCAACCTAAATTGAAATTCTAAAAAGTTCTGAAAATCATTTTGAGTATTTGCATGTACAAACAAGTCCTTTGCACATTTTTATAACCCATGTAAGTAACTTTCAAAAAGTTCGCACTCTTCTCGGGGGGGGGGAGGGGGGAGGGGGGAGGGAAAGGGGAGGGGCTCGCCAGTAGCAAAACCGTGTTTTGCTGCTCTCTTTCAATATGTGATTAATTTGGAACTCATTTTCTCAAGGCTCATGTATTGGTGATTGGTGGTTATCATTGCTTGTATCCTCTGAAAATTTCATCTCAAAATCTTAGACAGGCTGATATTGAGATATACGTGGGTGCATCTTGGTGTATAATGAGAGTTCGGTTACCGTGGTACAGTTTTCAAAAAACATTATTTATAGCTTCCGTCTTCCCGATCACAAAAGATTGTCAGCATATTAACTTTGTGAAATATGATAAAAGTCCCTATACAATGGTCACAACGCACATAATTACGAATATTGCGGAATAACATTAGCCATGTGGAAGCTATAAAAAAGAGAGCTGTTATCAAACTTTACTCCTCCCACCTGACAGTGTCATTCAGCAGCGACAGCACTTAACAAATGCACGCAAATTTTGATTTACCTTCTCAATATAATTGCCAAAATCATAAGCTCAAATCCTCAGTGATGTATTCCTTCTTAACTGATACAATAGCCGGCAATCATTCCTCACAGTCATTTGATTTTTAGTAGAATTCGTTTACAAAGTTTAAGCAATCCTTTTCTATGCTTTGCCAAACATAAGCTTATAAATATTTACAAGAAAGCTTTCCATGATCTTTTAGAAGCCTACTTAGAAGATAGCGAAGATGCTCAAAATACTCGTGTTTCTTGCTCTCGTCATGGTCGCTGCAAGACGTAAGACATGATTTTACGAACAATTCGATTAGTTGTCTTCTACAGTATCTTTAAGGTGGCTGGACCAAAAAGATTCCTGGTGTAAGCGCAGCCAACATGGAAAAACTTCACCAAATCATGAGTGTAAGACGTTCCATAATCCTACCAACTTCATCCTTTATGATCTGTATGCACATTGAAAAATTTAACAGCGTCGACCAACTTGACAATTTCAACTCCCTCTTTAGTTAAGAAAACTAGTAAACCATAAAAACTGCAATAGTTTAGCACAAAGTTTGTACCGTTCTAAACCTGTTTGTAAGTAAAAAGAATATGAATCGGGCAAGACTGGCCAAACACCTCAAAAACAATCAGTTCGCTTTCTTTGTGTCAACCATTGCAATATCATCCTAAAATATCGTTTGAATTTGCTGAAGTAAGGCTATCATGCTCCCTTTTTCTCCAGTAGAGTTTCATAATTTTAATTGATAATTTGAATGAGAGAATATAGCGAAGGTGTTTACTTCTTCTTTTCCCCATTAGTTTTAAAAGCCTAAAACTCCAATACTCTTGTATTCACAAACTGTGAATTACATATTTTCGTCCAATATCTCAACGCACTTTGCTCCTTCTAGAATACGGAAAAATCTGGGGCATTGCTGCGCCTCCTGGAACTGTCGCTTTTTCGTGCTAGTGGAGTTTGGAGAAGAAATAGTGCGTCTCGCACTTATAAAATTAGGTGCTAGAATTTTAAATTGATGGAAATCGTGAGTACAATTTTGAATAATTAAAGAAGCATTTACAAGTGTTGTGTATATGATCTAGAGATGATGTCAAGTATGAAATGACCGAATTTGAAACGGTCCCACATAATTTCTTCTTCATGTCCTAAAAACAACTAAAGAAATTTGAAGAGTATTGCAATGGCAAAGACACTCGTTCTCTTTTGAAATTAGAATTATTCTTAGTATATGTGAAAAGAGATTGTATCGGAAAGCTGAGGTTACAACTATTGCATTATGAGTGATTGTTTTGCCCACATCAGCCGAGTCAGTACGAGAACTGGTCGTTGAAAAGGTATCACGTTTGACTGTGTTCCGCAAAATTTTTCTATTAGGTTGGCTAACAAAAAGTTCGGTCGTTTTTAGCGGTTTGTAGAATTGTCACAAACTATTTTTTTGTGTGTATGTGTAGCTTTAGCTTTTTAGGCTTCCAATTTATTTTAGCCTCGACCTCATGGACTTAAAGAGTTTGAGAGAAGGTTTTTGGAATGGGAGAACAGCTTGCCGCCAGCAGAGAAGGTTTGATGAGGTTGATTTATAACTCAGTATACTCTTTATAACTTCTTTCTAGGCAGCAGCACAAGCCTATCGAGAGCAATGGCACAATAGATATAGAAGTAAGCATCTTAAGCATCAAAAAACTCTATCCAAGACTTCGAAAAATAAGAGTTATCAGATTATCCTAAAAGTAAACTCCATTTTCGAATTGAGCTGTTCTTGCTTTCCTGGTAGACTTAAAGGCAGTGTCCCGGCAGATTTTGCACCTCCACCTTTTTGCATGTTTTAAGCATCTTGGCCACGTAGAATCCGAATTTGAGCTAGGAGCGGGCTGAAAAGGCCGATTTTGGGGCGTTTTCCTAATTCCAGAAAAGCAGCTTGGACGAGATTCTTAATGGAAAGTTGGGGGAGGTCCTCAGACGAAGATCCTGCCGCCTGTAATTCTTGCTTCGGATAGCATGCATCATGGAGGAGAGCGCTCGTGGGGTCCCGCGCCGAACAGGCGGGGAAGGCCGTCTAAGCGCGCGCCATTTGGGGTTGCGCGCGCCGGTTCAAGGGCCATTTTCTCGGCCCAGGGGGAACATCACCCAGCCGGAGTGCGCCTGGAGGTCGATGGGGTGACCAGGAACCCCACCACACGTATATCCCCCAGGACCCGAATCTGCAGGGACACTGCCTTTAAGGTACCATTCGAAGAGCAGAGCAAAATCTACAAAAAGACCGGCAAGGACTTACCTAATTCGCAATCCAGGCAAAATTTGGGGCCAAAAATCAAAATTTTTCAGCTACCCTAGGAATCGGATCTCCTTCCAGAAAATTTCTGCAGACTTCCAGCTTGGTCTTTATATAGTAGACACATAGTGTACCCAAAAATATAGTCGGCGGATTTTTTCCGGGGCTCAAAATTGAGAAAAGATGGTCCATAAATACCAAAATGCCCCTTTTTTCAGGTTTTTTGTGTAAAACTTAGTATTTCTCGACTATAAGAGCACATACAGGGGTAAGTTTTTGAAATTGGACTTAGTAAGGCTTGTAGTATACAATGACATATGTTGGAGGGGCTGAGGGCGGAGTTTGCCATATTCGGACAATTTTTGTTTCTCGCTTTCTATGCTCGGAAAAAATTCGGCAAAAGCATATTTGAGTACTGCTATGTGCCTACTGTATAATGACCAAGTCGGAGATCCCTAAGGCTTTTCCTCGCAAAAATCCAATTTTCAGGCGACAAAATTTTTTTTCGATTTTAGCTTCAAGCTTTGCATGGAATGCGACTTGGGCGGATCCTTGGTGGTCTTTTTGTAGAGCTTAATCTGCTCTACCGAATGATACCCCAAGTCTACCAGTAAATCAAAAACAGCATGAATTATTCAAAAAAGGAGTTTACTTTTGGGACAACTTAATACATGAGCTAGTCAGTATGCCCGGCTTCGGTCGTTCTCTAGCATAAGATAAACCTACAATGTGGTCAAACTTCTACTTAACATTTACCTGTCCTTGTTTCACGCTTATATGAAACATTACTGTCTCGCTGCGCTTTCGTAATCAGCATGCTCACTCATCCTCCTAGGCTGATTTCCAACAAACTACTCGCAAATTGTAAAACCGAAAAATCCTTAATTGCGATGGTTCTTTATGTTAGTATATTCCTGGTGATTAGCGTACTCGCCCCCTCACCAGCTACCTTCGCCAACTTCCAGTCCCTTAGCTAAAATCTAAAGCTTGCAAAAAATCAAAAATCATGTTAATACCATGAGTGTGCAAAAGTTAATACACACTGTTTAATCAAGTTCTCTTTCAACAAGGAATTACAGACCTTTAGGTACTTTCTGGCAGCGCTGGCTTTTTGCAAAATTGCGCATCACCTATATTTCTTTCATTAGTGTAGAAATAGGAAAGGCATTGGTCTCTCTATAAGTGTTTTGAGCCACGTGTAAAGGAAAATAAGTATATTTTTTCATACTGTAGAAATAAGGTAGGCATCTTGACACTGCAAACCACATTTACCTCCAGAATTGCCGACAGAATATCAAACTCACTTTAGCGACTACGTTTATAAGCTGTGCCAAGTATACTCTGCAGCGTTTTTTCAGTATCTAGCAAAAATTTGATTACCTTACCTATAAAAGTTTAGAGGTTGTGTAATGATATCAGCATGCAAGAAACTCTGCTCAACAACTTTCTGTTATAGATCTATTAAATAATTTTGAATCGACTAACATTACAGTGGCGCTGTATAAAGTTTTACCGTAATCAAGAGTATTGAGAAGCTATAGGTGGCTTCATATGTGGAATGTTGAAGTCAGCTGTACGACCCAGAGTCGACATAATCCTTTGTGGGAAAAGAGATACTAAATACCAAAATCTGTACTTACTTGGGGTTTAGATTAGGTCGTTATGCATAGAGATGCATAAAGCTTCTTGTATCAACACTGAACTTTGCTTCTTCGTTATCCAATTTAGAAATGCTCGAACAAGGCATTCCGGGAGTAAGTGCTGCCAGCATGACCAAACTACGTCAAATGATGGAGGTGAGCTTCTAGTAGATGTCAATGCCCTCACAAACTTATGATCGCAGCTCAGAGCAATTCAGCGGCATTGGATTAAGGCATAAACAATTTGCATGTCTGTAAATTTATCTTATTTAGCCTTTACCAGAACGCATGGGAGCATTCCTAGAGAAGATGCATGAATGGATGAACAGTCTACCGCCTGAGGACAAGGCAAGCTTTATCCTCGATAGTCGAGATAGTTACACAATGCAAACATTCCATTGCAGAAAGCAGCAGAAGCGTACCGAGAACAGATACGTCAGAGACATGCAGCTCGTCGTGCTTTCCACCACTTTAAAAAAAGTCATATGTAAAATTTATGCTGTGGTACTGTTGATCTTGTATCATGAACCTGGTGGCATGAAGATTTCAACCTGTTTACTCGATCCAAAAATGCTTGCTGGCATAGTGGGCTCCTCTTATTGCCTCAGCAATAATGTAGTACCCAGTCTTCTTCACATCTGCTTAGTTTATGTCTGCATTGACAAATGCACTATCACTGAGATCAATACTAATTGTTCATGCAATCAATAGTACACATATATTAATTTGATGCAAAAGTCGTGGTTGAAATTCAATTAGTAACTTACCATACTTAACCTAGATACATAACCTGTTGAGATTATATAGAAGAATATTAGAACTTACAAGACTTATAGCGCACTTTTCGTCGCTGCCAGGAAGAAACAAGGTGTCCAAGACGGCATTTAAGATTTTATGACAATGTTGACAATAGATGTTCATTGATACGCACACTCAGTGGCCGGCCGATTCACCAATATGTTGAAAAAGGTTTGGTTAGCAAAGAAGGTTCTAGCTGGCAGAAAGGGGCAAAGCATGATTAGTCCGTTGGGAAAGTGTAGAACGATTGAACGTAACGGAGTTGATCACGATATCAGATGCAAAATCTAGGCGACGAACAGTGAATTTCCGCAAATGCTTTGGGAGGCTCTTTCATTCTTTCTTGCAGACCCAAATTAAATAACAACAGAATAGAATATATAATAACCATTAGGGTACTCTACATGTATTTACAACATGTAGATACTGGGTTGGTTTTTAACTTTCGCACATTTTTGCGGCTAGTCTGCAGCACAACAGCATTTTTTATTACCAGACTAAATCGCAAAATTTGAAGTCCCATGTCTAAAGGCTTGTTTCTCTACCCTACTCTACTGTTTCTCTAGGTGATGAAAAGTTGTTGGAAGATACTCTAAAGTGCAAGCATTCGTCTAGTCTTCTTGCGAAACCGTAAGTTCGGATTTCAGATTTAGAAGTTTCGAGAATTTTTTGTTTAAAAGTACGCAGCAACTTTGACTTTGCTGCTAGTAATTTTCTCGCTGAGCCGGGCGTACTTCGTGCACTGAGTTCTCTTCCGATTTACTCAAAATCCGATCTTCTTCCCTACTTCGTTTAGTTCCTTCAGCATCGTCTTTGCTTCAGTGAAACTGCTTGAAAAGAGAACGATGTCGTCCGCAAAACGAAGGTTGGATAGAAATCTCCCATTCTCCCAATCCCAATCTCCCAATCTCCCAAACTCGTATGTCAATCTCGTCCCAGTCCAGTGACTTCATCACTCACTGCAAGGCCGCGGTGAACAGCTTTGGCGAAATTGTGTCACCTTGTCGGACCACCTTCCCAAATTGGAATGTTAGGATGATGGAATTGCTGCATCGTCGTTGTACAGTACTTGTAGCAATCGGCTAACGTCCTCGCATAAGTTGGGTCTACTCCTTGATCGATTAGCGCTGACAGGATGGCATTGGTTTCGCCGCTGTCAAAGGCTTTCTCGTAGTCGACGAAGGTTAGGACGAGAGGCAGTCGGTACTCCCAGCAGACTTCTATGACCCTCAAAACCGTCTGTATGTAATCTATGCAACTGAATCCTTTGCAAAATACAGCTTGTTCTTGGGGTAGGGCTTCATCCAGTGTCTTAGATATGCGAGCGAGGATAATTTTCGTGAAACGCTTGTACAGCACACTCAGCAGACATATTGGACGGTAGTTCCGAAAATCTTTTAGTTGTGTGTGAAACGCCCCTTCAAACTTACAAGGAAATGGCCAGAAGGAGCCAATCCAAGCAGATTGCTCAACCGATGCAGCACTGTACTCTAATTTTGACTCTGTACTCCGTATCTGCTTAGGGCCTTTGGTGACGAAGTTCAGCACTTTTGTTGCGAAAAGATCCTACATAGAAGGTGCGGATTTGAGCACAGTGCTGCATATTCAGCCCACCTCTAAATTCTAAGAATATAAGGTATCTAGCTGCATGTTTTGGCCCAACATCAATCCGAACATGGCTCCATCCATGCGCTTTGCATGCACAATTTCCTAGCAAAATAACGGCCTCTAACGGCTCATAACTTCGCCCACTAGGCGCTAAGCACATATGGAATACAGACACGGAGTCAGCGTTTTTATGCAGCATCTAATGGTGTGCAGTTGATTTGGGTTGCCCATTTCGATATCTGGCCATTTCCTTGTTAACTACAGAGATATGTATGTGAATTTCTCAGCCTTTCCACAGATCTCACAAGGGAAAGATATCATTCGGCGTTAGCCAATTTCAATTGAACGCCATGTTGTCTCATTTTGAGCAGTCAGCAAAATCGAATGCCTAAGTAGCCATCAACGCATCAGCTTATGATTGCCTGGAACGTTTATTTATCCGGATCCAAGTTGGACGCTTCTTCATCAATTATACTGTTAAGTCAGTAACTTCAAACTTTGAGTTCGGAGTAATACAAACTCAATAAATTACACATTGCTCATGTTTATTTAGAGAAATACGTAATTTTTTTACACGGGTAGTGGTCACAATCTGGTACGAAAATAGCTTCTCACAACTTCTACTGCACATACAGTCAGTCAGTTGTTTAAAGAACATTAAACTTCAACGTTTTGGCCTAGTTTATTATCCAGAGCAGGTTAAATTGGCATTGTTGGTTACACTGTAATTTGATTATAAAAACGTTTTTTCGGATTCATATGGAAATGTAACGGAAGTGGAGAGTGGGTTGCGCCATACTTCATACTGCATTCAATTTTATTTTATTCGGAAACCTGATGGGACAATCGTGAAAAATTGCCACCTTCTCAATAGTCAGTGGTGTTGTAACCACTTTGAAAAAGAAAAAAGACATGATTTAATGGCACATCCTTATTGCTAGCCTTTTTAGAACTATACGATGAAATTAGATTGTGATTCGTAGTCATCGTATTTAGACAGCGGCCCGTAGTAAAGCTTGATCAGTTGAGGTGAACTCAACTTATCCCATCAGTTAAGCTTGGGTGAGGTGAACTGATGACCGTCCACCTTCCCCTGCTATAAGATGGTCAAGTCAACTGATAGTTGGCCATCTGTTCACCTGCTGCAGTTAAGTGTTCCACATCCGTTCACGTTAAGTTGAACTGAACGTGAACGGATGTTAGAGGAATGCAAATAGCGTGTAAAAAAGGAGACGCAGACAAGAGTTGACTGCATCTAACATAAGTTGCTCCTGAGTAACTTACGATACACACAGCTTTGCCAAAAAATGCAGAAAAAATTGGCGCAAAACTGCACAACCGCGCCCGAAAAGGAGAGGATCGATGAAAGCTGATTTTGGCGAGGAAAACAAAAAAAACAATTCTTCTTTTTTTGTAAATCTTACTGATTATTTTCTCACTGGCTGTACAAGACGAGAACTCATTTGTTCATTTCATTAAATTTACGCTGCAACCATTTCGTTTTTTTTGTAAAATTCTCGTCACAAAATGTTTTTTGTTTTATCCGTGCATTGCTAGGCGACCTCGATAGCGGTCATGATCGATTGCGATAGTGGCCGCTATCAAAGATTGCCCGGCGATGCATCAAAAAGCGAGTTGGTAGACGGAGTCGAACCATGGCCGCGCGCGCGTAGTTCCAATCGCTTACCCGTTTGACCAAACCAGCTCGAGTGCTTCTTTTTCAAGTACACATTTGATTGCAATGCCTCGGCAGTGATCCGCATCCAAATCAATAGCTCGCCGTATGCTGGACTGAGGCGCGTTGACCTCAACTCCGGTCCGCGTCGAGAGAGATGCCTTGATGGGGGGGGGGGGTTTACTACGGGTCAGCACTTCACGGTACCCTGCCACTCATTCTGAAGCAGGAAGTTTGATTATCCTTAAACTTTGACTAAAACGCTAAGTGAACTCAATCATTTTAACTATGAATGTTTAATCATCTTAACGCTTTACGGTTTATGGAAAAATGGTAGTTCTTCAATGTTCCGCAACATCATTTTAGGTCCATTTCCTTATTGCAAGAAAAGCAAAATTTGATCTGTTTCTGATTTTAGCGTTGATGCCATTTAAACAGATTAGAATCAGAAATTGCAGTCATTCAGGTCCATAACTTAGAATATCACAACGTTTTTCCGTTGTTCTTTTGTCTCACAAAAAGAGTTTACAGAAGCTCAGAGGCAACGCCCTCCAGTGGGGTACCGGGAGGAGGGGGGGGGGGATTTCGAATATTCACATGAGTTATAAGAATGTGCAGGGGGTCGCAGATTTTGAAAATTATTCACATGAGTCAAAAAATGTGCAAGTAACTTGTTTATACTTGTAAATGATTAGAATAATTTTTTAAAAATTTTTAAAAAATTCAATTTAGGCTTAAAAAAATTTTCCTTCTGGAATTTCGGCCTTATGACCCCGCAAAGATTTTTGGAAGCATACTAAAAACTTTTACGGAATGCGTGGCACACCAGAAAAAAATTTCTGTCCCCCCCAAACGAAAATCCTGGGTACGCCACTGATGCCCTCTCAAAATTTTATCCAATCTTAGGTCTTCCCATGGTTCTAACATTCAATATCAGGTGCATAAGACCCTCAACCAGGGCCAAGCGTGTTGATGCGATCCGGGACCCTCATTAACGCCCCCTCCCTCCTTGAAGACCCATCCGCATGACCCTTCCCCCTCCACCTACACCTCCCCTCCTTCTACTGAACTGCTTTTGAACCTGCATAAACGAATGTCAACCTTAAAAGATGCCTGCCAATGAACCTCAATCAAAATTATAGGTTCGGAGAAAAATAACTGCCTATGAATTGGAAAATGCAAATATGCTTCACCATTAAAAAACCTCACAAATAATTCTGCGCAGAGATTGGGTAAGTAGTAAAATCTTGAGATTTGGCTGTGCTTATTCTGGTCTGGAAAATGTGGATGGAATGGACATCATCTGACAAAGCTGAATATCAGTTTTGATCTGAATGATATACAGGGTGTCCCAAAAAGATGTGCACACTGTTTGATTGTAAATAACTTTTTTGTGGTGAAGTGTTTCGAGAAGCTTTAGGTACCATTTTGTAGAGCGAGGTTCAACTTAGATTTACAGTGTAGGGCGGATAGCCGATCTCTCATTCTTGCTGTAGGATTA